CTATGTGGGGTTTTTTTTTGTTTGGTTAAAAAAGGTTGTAAATTTTAGGGGAAAAAAAAAACCCCCCAAAAAAAAAAAAAAAAAAAAAAAAAGAGAAGATAATTGTTTATCGATCATGATTATTAGATGCATCACATAACACTGCGTGAAGAACGATTTTAAGTTTTCAGAAGAACTCTCGCTGTTTGCATGAAGAACTATTCAAACTTTTAGGAAAAATAAATTCTTCCTTTTTTTCTTTTTCTCTTGTACTGTTATTGTACATTTTTTGTTAAGTTGCAAGGGGCCTTTGCTTTCTTGTATGGAAGGAACATTATCGATAAGGGTAGAGTAAGAAATGAAAGTTATTTTCTGTGGCTTACTTGTTATGATGTCAATACAGTAAGAGCTTCATGCAAAACTTGCTTCTGTACAGGAAAGCCTGCAGTTAAGGGATCAAAGCCCAATCATGAGAATTCTGAAAGTGTCCATGAAAAATGCAGTGATTTAACTTTAGGAACTGAAAATCAGTTCATTTCAAGATCCACAGACCAAGTAGATACTGGATTTTTCTCTTTTTCAGCGGTTAATACTAGGGCGACTCCACATGAGTTTCCGATGTCAGTTACTTCCTCTACATCAAGGCTTCAAGATTATTCTCAAACTCAGCTACCATATACTGCACCCAAAGTGACTTGGAGTCATTGCAATTCCGAAATTGCTTTGTGCGATAGTGGCTTTACAAAACTTGATGCTTACCAATGATAAAGGAAAAGGAGGCAAAGATGGCAAACCTCTCTCTAGTGAGGGTATAGGTGCATTACTGAAGGCAACATCTGAGCCACTAATTACTTTAACCAATATTCCTGATGATTTCAGTTTGAAACATCTTGGTCCCAAAGGAGCTGTTTCAATTTCAAAAAATTTGGATGAGAATGACTCTGATTTGGACTCACCTTGTTGGAAAGGAACCCTGGCTTCTAGGCAATATGGAGTTTCAAGGTCTTTGAGTTCAGACTTTGTTGGAAATGAACAAGAAGTGCGTAATAGTTTGAATCCACTGGCACCTCAATTTTTTCCTCGTCATGCTAAAGCAATTGTAGATTACCATGCAAATGACTACATTGGAGATGATTTCTCATCTTTCCGAAAGTGTGAATCTTCAGCCGTTAATTCATCCTCCAAAGGACATGGACCCGTTGATCAAGCAGGATCAAAGTCTTCTTCATTGATTAAAGGAATAGGGACTCAGACTTCTAATGACATTCATGATCTGGAAAGAGTTTATCCCCTGCTTAATAACTCAGAAAGTGGCTCTGTGCTCAATTTGCCTGAGGGTTTGTCCAAGTTGTCGTCTACACATTCAAAATTAGATGTTCCCACAATACTTAATACGATGCACGATCTCTCAGAATTGCTTGTACAGAAGTGCTCGAATGATTTAGATTCACTAAATGAACACAAGCATGACTTGATGCAGAATATAATCAATAATCTTTGTATGTACATCCAACATGGGGATGGAGGAGAGGTTCCAATCTCTGATATAACTCTTACAGGCACTCCGTACTGTCCTGTTAAATCAACAGAGCTGCACAAGGTAGGGGTATGTGTGTGTGACCTTGAATGTTGAGAATTTTTTTTTTAAGAAAATACTTAACTCTGTTTTCCTGTTTGAAATTTTGAATCTGAAAGCTCTTGGGTACTTAACGTTTTAAATTTTGCGGGGATGCTATGACGCATATATGTGCAATTTACTTATCTTCTAAAATAGAAATGATGTCCTCTTTAACATACTAGTTTGTAGATGTATTACAGATGTACTTACATTTGAATTCATACAATTTTTGTACTGGTTTTTATTCTGTGAGAGCATTAACCTTCACTTACATGCCTTTTTTTTTTATATCATGTTTGGTAGATTTAATATTATTGCTTACAATGAGATTAATAATAATTATCGTAATAACAATGCCATTATAGTAATATTTTTGTTATACTTTTATCTGTGTCCACCTGGGAGCTGGCTGAAAGAAATAATTTCATCATTTTCTTTTATGAAATTAAAAATGCTCATGTGTATATGTTCTGTTGATCTGAGAGCCTAAATAATGTTTTTCAGTGCTCGAACACGGGGTTTCAAGTAACAAGGAAAAAGGCCTTGGCTGTTCCACAAGAGATTAATTATCAGAATGACCGTGAGGGGTGCAAGGTTAATTCTCATGTTTTCACTAAGAGAAAGTTGGATTCCTTTCCTTCATGTAGTGGCGTAGGCACTGAGAAGAGCAATGACATCGTTCAGGTATAATTTGTGGACCTGTTGCTGAAAATTATCATATCAGTGCTTAATGTTGTTTCTCTACTTGGAAACGGAACCTTCACACTTGTAATGGTAAGATGCAGGTTATGGGCAACGCGTTGGGAGACAATCATTTGACCACGGAAGAGTTAGACCCACAAGCTTCGGTGTATAAAAAATTATGGCTTCAGGCTGAAGCGGCATTATGTTCCATGAAGTATGAAACTTGTGTCTTATGCATGCAATTGGAAATGGGTGGCCGCAAATTAGACAAAAATAAGGTGAACTACTTCCCTTCCATTCTTATATGTCTTCCATTTTTAATTTAACTTTTGCCCATTTTCTGCTCTGTTAGGTTTCAGGCAAGCTATTGACAAGAGACATACACTAGCTGTAGACGTGTTCTCCGGATACTACCAGAAGGAGCTGTTGGTGTTGGAAGCTAGAGACTCTTCACCTGGTTGTATGTACAAATAATAGTCGAAATGCAGTATATAATAGTACTAGTTATATAGAGTGACTTGCATTTAGGGTTCAAGTCTTTAGAATGCAAGGTTGATGGTTCTGAGTGTCTGAATGGTGGAAGCATTTTGCTTGGACAGTGGATAAAATTTCCATTTTATGATGACACATACGTATTTTGGTAAAAGCATTGCCTGGAAAATCTGTTACTTCAGGATTATAGAGATGTGAAAAACCCATCTACAATCTCAAAGAGGATCATTTCTGATGTGCTGCAGAGAAATTTGTCATTGCTTAGTTCTTTTTTTCCTCTCTTTCTTAATTTGCAGTTGATATAATTAGACTGAAATTCATTGTTGGGCTAAGCCAGGGAAAAAGAAAAAGAGAAAGTGATGGGTTGGGCTAAGCCTTACATCTTAATCCCACCCATCAAATGAAATATTGCAAATAAAGCTAAAAAAACAAATGTGGACACCAAGATGTGACAAGAAAAACATATATTATAGTTTAATGTTGCACTAAAAATTGATACCATCCAATCATTGGACAACTTAGACCAGGAGACCAACCACTGACCTTGGATTGTGCTTGTTCTGAAATCAACTGTAATTTTAAAAGATGGTTGCATGGCTTTGTGTCAGTAAAAAAAGTTTTTACATCGATAATAGCGTTAGTTTAGTTGATTTAACTCCACCATTAATTGACAAATTAAATACATTTTTCAATACTTTGGCACATTGTCATTTAGAAAAAGAAGGGTCCCTCCCTTGCATATGGGCAAAAAGTTAAAAATATAATATAATAAAAAATTATAATAAATAAAAGAAAAAGTGAATGAATAGGAACAGAGGTCATTAATATTTGATTAATTTTGACATTACTGTTGGTTCATGTGGTACCACATGAAACATTATGTAACATTACTGCAGCCCAGTGGGGAGAAGTGGGGAAGAAGAAAGTACCATGGACATTGGACAAGCCATCTCTGTACCAGGCCCTTCACCCACCTAGACAAAAGTGACAGGTCATGGCAGAGGGGACCTCCCTATCAAACTTTGCTATTTTGTTTCCATTTAATCATTCACCATAACCCCTCAAATAATTAATCAATATAACTTTTCTCTTATCAAAATGAATCAAAATTACTTGTTTAAGTCATCATCTTTTTGTCTCCTCTTCTTTTACTCAGACATTACATTTACCATCATAAATAAACCTATGTGCAAATTTCTGAGGAAGAAAAACATAATAATATGTTTTGAATAATGTTTCTCTTACCACATTTATATATCATATCTTTATACCATCTTATGTGGCAACTAAGATGGACAGCCACATCAATTAAAATTATTTAATATTTTCTTTTCTTTTATGATTTATTTTTCTAATTGTCTTAATTAAAATGCATTTCATTGATTTAATTGATGTAGTATATAATATGGACATGTCACATCATGTGGTATAGAAATACGGGATAAAAATGTGATAAGTGTAGCATTACTCATATATTTTTGTTATTTATGAGAATGTAAATCAAACATGATTTAACTCTCTCTCTCTCTCTCTCTCTCTCTCTCTCTCTCTCTGCCCCATATGGTTCACATGGTCCAAATGGTCCACACCCACATCTTCATAATTTTATGAAACCAAAATTGTGATGTTACATAAGCATTGAGGAACAAATTAAAAGCATGGTAAAGAGAGACAAAAGTAGGCAGGTAAAGTTAAATCCGTCAATGTGGTAGACCACTTTCTACTTGATAATCACATTTTCCTTCCCAAAAACAATTCCAAACCCAAATGCCCTTTGGCTAACCACAAAAATCCCACCACCCACTTCCTTGTCACATTCAAAAAAACAAAAAAAGTCACTTGATATGTTAATATTACCAACAAACTATTAGTCTAATGTTAAACCGGCTCATTAATTAGTGAAAAAATCATAAAGGGAAAATAGAAAACAAAAGAAATTGGTTATTGCGAGTATAAATTAGGTCAGTTAGTCAAGAGCATATTGCATTGTCAAAAAATAAAAGGGAGTTAGTCACTGGTTTCTCGGAGAGAGTGAGAAAAGAAGACAGAAATAGGGGTAAAGGAAGAGACAGAAAAGGAAAGGGATTAGGGTGGGGATAGGGGTGGCCATCCAACTGGGCCTGTGGAATCATCGGTGCAGTTTGGATACCTTAGCATGAAACTGAATACTCAGCATTAAAAGAGGGAGAGCTATGGATCAGCAGCACAAATCCCATCCCATCCCATCCCATCCCATCCAGTCCCATCCAGGTGGGTCAGAAAAATTCAGAGAGAAAAAAAAAACTCAGGCCCACACATAAACCCTACTTGTTAACTTCCCTCTCTCTCTCTCTCTCTCTCTCTCTCTCTCATACCGTCCACATAAGGAAGGGCGTGGCCTGTGGCTATTTTCTCTTCTTTCTTTTACAAAAATAGTAAGGTTTTGCTACGCATCTTTACGGCTGCTTTGGAGCTTTTAGGGTGTGCTTGCTCTGTGCACCCACCCCATGACCCGTTGCTTTCACCTCCCTTAATAATATAATTGCGGTTGTTTTATGGGATCGGCTGCCTTCGCACTGTCGCTGTTAATGCTCTGTCTTTCACACCAAAATTTTGAAAGCCGTAGCAGAAACCCACCAGCTTTTTTGTTACTTCTTCTTCTTCTTCTCTCTTTATATCGCTATTTTGGTTTCTGCATGAGTGTGTACAGTCTGTGATCAGATTGTAATAACGGAACAAAAAGTGAAAACCCAGTTGATCAGAGCCGTTGGATTATTTTTTTGACATCTTTGATGAAAAACTCTCTGAATGTGAGCAGACCCAGATGGGTGTCTGGTCCATTTGGCCTTTGGGGACATGGAATGTTGAGTGGGAGAAATAAGGAAACAAACAAAAGTAGGCCACATTGCTACATGCCATGCCACGCCACCTTACTCTCTTTTCCTTGGAGCTCTTTTTTTTTTTTTTTCAATCCTATCTTGATTTGGAATTGTTTGGTTTTTATTTACCCACATGCAATTTGTTGGACTTGGAGAGTGTTTGTGTTGAGTCTTTTAGAGAGAGGGAGAGCATGAGGAGAGAGAAAGGGTATCGCATTCACATTCATATATATTCATATATCACGGGAATGTGGTGCATTAAAACTAAAGAAAAGAAAGAGAGAGAGAGAGAGAGAGAGAGAGAGAGAGAGAGAGAGAGAGAGATAGATCAACGTTACGTGGGCCATGCAGAAGAACTAGTCCAGTATGGATTGGGAGTAGATTGCACGCGTCCTTGGTTGGCCAAAGTCATGAGAAGAAAAAGAAGATCAAGAAAGAAAGAGAGACTAATGAAAATATTACTACTTTTCTTTTCCTTTTATTGGCGTCATTGATTACGCCTATTCAACCCTAAGACCTACTCTTGCCCTCTCTTTCATAGAGTGGGGACTGCACTGCCTTCTTCTCTCTTCTTCTCTCTCCAGGGTTTGAGAGAGAGAGAGAGAGAGAGAGGAGGCTTTGAAGTTGAAGTTTTGAAGGCATAGGAATCTTGTTTGCCTCTCACCTCCTTTTTCGTCATCCTTAATGTCCTTCCTTCCTTTAGCTAGTTACCCATGTCGCGTGTGCCTACAATATTCCAAGCCGTATGATATATATTTTGTGTTATCCAACCAGGTTGTTTAGGAAGACAATGCAATTTAGGTTAGGTGGATGTAAGTCATCAGGTTGTTTTGGTTTCTTATGCAATTCAGAAGAAGCAAAATCAGTTTTGGCTTTTGCTTCCTGCCAATATGTTTGTAATTAAACCGAAAAAAAGAGATGGGTTTGGTTTGGTTGACATATAATTTCTTCATAATGTGAGGTGGACCAATTGCACCAACATGATTAATTATTGAAGCTAAGTAGCCATAAGCTTGGAAGCAAAGCTATCATGTCGTCAGAAAACAAAACCCAATAACGTACGGACGTGATCACTGTCAAAGTAATGTGAAAGAACGCAGCGCAGTTTGATATATAATTGCAGAAGAGAAGAGTGTAGGG